TGACAACAGCAGGTTTTTCTCTTTCAAGGTCCCATCTGAGTGTAATGATGTGGCGGAGATGTATAATCCTGATCTCTGGCCAGTTGGAGCCTATGTTTGGCGTTTTTATGAGCCACGTTGGGCTGGGGGAATGAGCGGTGCGGTTCCTCCGGGGATGCAGATGGGAGGGACCTCATTGACCTGTGGCACAGAGGCCAAATAAATCTGAGCAGATGGCTCTAAAAGTTATGTCATAATTGTTGTGGCCTGCGCTTGGGCCATAGTGCAGAGGACAAAGCTCGCCCTGTTGTTGTAGACCAACTTTTAAACCAATGTGATGTGCTGTGTCTACTTTTCTGACAGAGCAGGATTTAGAAGGTCTGAACTCTGTAAATGAGTGTTTCCACGGAGCTGGGGAGTCTAGTGTTGATATTAGTGATGGAATAAAATGAGGTCGGATTCCTGATGGTCTTGCAACATTATGAGATAAGAGACTGGATCCTTGGGTTAAAATAACTAAAGTTGAAGTGGACTGGTGCATAGCAATGCATCTAACACAAAATGACAAGGAATGTGTTTAACCTGAATATGTACACCACATATAAGTATCTTAACAAACTTGCTTTTATACAAGATATGTTTTTTATTGTGTTTTTTATTGGTGACATGAACTCTGATATCACTGATAGTAAATCTTTATTTTGTACTCAGTTTTGTGAGGATAGTGGGCAAATTCTCTCAGTCTCTAAAGTCCTGCTGAGGCATGGCATACAACCTTATGGTTGGATCACTTTGTAACTACAGCAGATGCACATGCCTCATTAAACCAACATGAAAATCCTGTATGAGTTATCTACCGCTGATTATATACCATTTGGGATGCAGATACATTTACAAGTTAACCAATGACAGAAAAGTACAATTTTGAATGTAACAAATTACACTTGGACTGGAGCTCGCTCTCAGAAGAGGAACTACTATCATTCTCTATGTGCATAAATAACTCACCTAGGAATATCTACCTAGATTAGGGTTGTCAAAAGTATCGATACTTAAAAAAGTATTGATACTGAAACGTTGTATCCGGATACAATACTCATTTTCAAAAGTATTGATACAGCCATCTAAAGTGCAGAATAGTGGAAAATGCACTTTCTGAACACTGTGTGATTGAATAATTCTGTGCTTTTTTTCAGTTTCAGACTTTTTTTGTGCAGCTGCTGAGAATTATTTTTGTTTAATTGGTTTGGCCAGTGTCATTGTTATGTCTGCAAAACATAGCCAAGGAAGGAACATTTAATTTTAATTTTGTAAGTTTTTTTTATCAAGCTTGCTTAATATTGTGTACAGCATACAACCTCAAAATATTATTCTTATTGTTTTTTAAATGTATTTCTTGTATTTTTTTAGTAATGAAAATATTTCTGTTGAATTTAAGAGTCTTTGTTTTTATTCTTGTGGTATCGAATAGGGTATTGTGTATCGAATGTTTTTCTTAGTATCGGTATCGAGTTGAAAAGTTTAGTATCGTGACAACCCTAACCTAGATAAAAGCAGTTATTCAGCAGTTATTCTTTTGTTTTATGTGTGGAGATGATAATAACAAGGGATCGCAGATCTATCTGTAGGGACCGCAAATAAATAATGTGTGAACATTCTGAGCACAATGAATCCATTTGTTCTGTGTATATTGAATTTGTTAATGTTTTGATTGCATCCACTAAACTCCTCCATAAACAGCAAAAAAAACAGAAAAATCAAAAAAAAAAAAAAAGAAGCAAAATCAGGCCAGATTGGAACACCAATGTGGCTGAACTTTATATTAGAGCTCAGTAGGCTTCAAATGAGTGGATACAGGCAGGGAGACTGAGATTTGGGCCTGTCCTTGAACATAAAAAGTTGACTAATGTCCAATACAAGGATGCTGTGCGATATACTGGTAAAAATGAAAGAGTAATGAGGGCTGACTCCATGGCCAGAAAACTTTTTAGTAACAATACACAAGACTTTTGGAAAGAAGTTAGAGGTAGGACATTCCACAAAAAATCTCTGCCCTGTGTGACTGATGGCATTTCTGGCACTGCTAATAATGTGGAGGTATGGCACCAACATTACAGTAGATTATTTAATTGTATTCATAGTGGATCATACACTTTAAATAATGTTGACAGTACAGATAAAATACGGCCTTGTGAAGTTCATAAAGCTATTTCAAAATTGTCAAACAATAAAGCCACTAGGGGTGTGCAAAATAATCGCCATGACGATGCATCGCAATTCTAATTTTTATGATCTACTGCATCGATTCTTGACACCAAGTATTGATTCTTAATTTTAAAAAAAGGAATAAATAAAATACATGAATGGTTGGCGCACATCGGCCAAAAACAAGTGGAATACAACGTCCAGTCCAGCAGATCTCGTGGATGAGTTGACGCCCGCTGCCTCATGTCACAAGCATTTACTGAGACAAGTCATTCATAAACAAAACATGGAGGAGACTGAGAAAATTCGCCCGGCCAGTATGATAACTGGCGAAAAGTGTTTTAAACTTCAGAGACAATCCATTCCACTACAATTCAGATACTTTGGGAAGTTTTTTTAGGCACAAACTGCCTGTTCAAGGGTAGGGATAAACCAATGAATTGGAATAAACGTGTATAAACAATAATTGAAATAATAGTCAACCAATTTAGTGATCTCGTTATCTTAACGTGAACAATACAGATTCCAAACCATTAATTTTTTGCCAGTTAAAAAATAGCTTGCCAGTGTGCCAATCCATTATATTTCAAGTCAGATGTTTGGATGCATTTTGGCTTTAAAACAGAGTAGTGTCCAAATTCATTTCCCGAGGGCTGCCATCTTGCATGTTTTAGTTTTTCTCCCTGGAGGTAGTTTCTACCTCCTCAGCACGTCAAAGGTATGCATATGCCTGCTAATTAGCAACCATTTTGACGCAAGTGTTTTGAAAAAGAGAGATTACTAAACCATCCAGGATACCAGTTCTCATGGTGCATTCACACAGCATGGGGTGAAGGCAGTGATTTCAGCGAGCCCCGCAGGTAGTTAACCACTCTGCATTTCAGATGCACTTTGTTTACACCCTGGACCTAATCATCAAATTGGAGGAGTAGGTGAAGCTGAAACCCCACCGACGAGAAAAAAACTCAAATAGACTGAATGGTTATCGCTTCTTTTGTGCAGGTTTTGGCATTTTAATTGCTCATTTTTTAAAATGGAAAAAATAAAATAATAAAAAAGATAACTTGTCCTAATGTTGTTTTAGAGAATTTAAAGATAATTTTTTAGGTCACTCAGAGATCTACTACCCTTTTAAGATCTAAATGTAATCAAAATCATCTAGCCTACTTTTTAGTACTTCATTTCTGCTGATTTGGTTTATAAAATAGAATTAGTTTTACAGCCGATGACGTCACCATCCCAGCAGACGTTAGTGCTGTGCCCATTTTGATATAAAAATGTTGCATAACATCACACGTCATTCCTATAACAGTGGGCATATTGACCTTATTTAGCGGCTGGAATTATTGTTTAATATTTAGTTAATCACCAGCCCCCCAGACCCTTCGCTTTGGACCTGGCGTTACCCCTGGCAACCTCATGTCATTTCCTGTTTCTCGCTGTTGGCATTTTACAAAAAAAGTACAGGTGAAACTTAACATCATGGACTGCTGCTAAATTGTTCTCTATGAAAAACTTTGGGGAGACCATTATTCTTATTGAAAAGCCCCTAAAGCTCTAACAAAAAAAATCAACTACTGTTCATCCAGACGCAGCTCGGATTCTGTCGGGTTCGGCGGGACTTCCTTGGAAATCTACCCCTGCAGAAAGCACCGATGCTGGGCAGTGGGCAGTGACAGACCTGGCTCTGTACTGGAGCTAAGGTAGGACGATGAACAGTTCTTCTATGACTAATTTACAACGTCTTTTTTTAAAAGCAATCTAAAAATCTCTTAAGCACATTCCTTATTTCGAGTTTTGTTAATATTGTTTATCTGTTTTTCAAGTGAAAAAGCTTCACCTACAACCACTCCCTGATTAGCTGCTGTATCGCCATTTCATATAAAAGTTCAGATTTTTCAGCTTCAGCGATCACCGCCTCTCTCCCGCCATGCGGTGCTGCTGTTTGACATCACCTCAGCTCTATCTAGTAGCACAAGGTGAAAGAGGAGCAGTGAACGCTCACACCGCGTGGAGTTGAGGTGGAGCCGCTTCACCGCCCTTCACGAATAGGAATTCTTGGTGAACTGACCACAAGGGCCATTGCCACCGCCTCCGGTGTGAACCCACAATTTAAGGATGAATTATGTGAGAAATATAGTGTGGCCAATTAGATTTTTAAGAAAAAAAGTAACAGCAGTTTAAAAAGCTAAGTTGAGCCAAAAGGAACGAGTAACAACTAGCTTCCTGGAAATGTAGTGGAGTAGAAAGTACAATATTTGACTTTGGAATGTAGTGCGGTAAAAGTTAAGTACCTCCCCAAAAATACTCAAGTAAAGATACTCAGAAAATTTCCTTGAGTTCATTAATCAAGTTAATGCACTCCATCACTGTCCACCACTGGGTTTAACTGCTATCAGGAAGTGCTGTAGGTATAAGTTCAGTGTGTTACACTTTCAGATCGGAGGAAGATCAACTACTTCCGATTCAATTTATCACATTTAGTCTGTGATCCTGTCTTCAGGCCTAAACATTGACGCTCCAAGTGTTGAGTTAATGTCTGAATACTACTGGCAGCACTGAACACTGAGGCAAAATAAACCTGCAGGCCCCCAGTACCAAATGACCTGAAAGCCTCCTTGTTTTCCTAACTGTATCCTGACAGATATACCATCTTTCTTGGCTGCTAAGACCTAAAGGAACTAGCCCTAACCAATTTCTCCCATACAGCTGCACATGGTTCAGATAGGAACTAACAAAATAAAATAAAAGATTCCTCAGAGGTCTAGAAGTGGCTTTAGACACAGCAGAAATATGACAAAAACAAAAAAACATACCTGATTAAAGGTTTTGAAGTGCAGTTCCTTGAAGATAGCATCCCGATTCTCTACTTCCATCCATCCTGTTGCCCTGAGCTCCATCACCATCTGATCCCGGTCTGCAGGGCTGAGCCAGTGGGAATCTGATGACTGGACACAAGTGACCCCCCGTCATCACAATCAAATATTTTTGAATCTATTTTTATTTTGGTTCTTACAGAGAGTTTCAGTTATGATGCCAGAAAATCAATACACAAACAGGAATGATGTCAGAGAAACTCTGAATATTTTTTTTTTTTACATTTCAAAACAGATTTTTTTCTGCCAAACTAAATGTATTATTTCGCCATACTAGTCTGCATGCTAAAATATCATTATTTTCTAAAATGTTTGCTCATTGGAAGAGCTGGCAGCAAAAATCTCAAATAACCTCTGCAGTGAGACCTCCAATAATCTCACATTTCATTTCTAAACGTAATGTTACCGAGTCTGAATATCAAAATTACGGCTGCAATTTAAAGTTTATTTGCTTTGCCTGAACTACTTTAACATGACTTGTTAATTAAATCGTACCGACATAATAGCTTTTCTAAGAATTCATTGTATCAATTAACAGATTATTAAAACACTTATTTAACCTGAATGTAAATAAACCAATCAAGTGAGGAGAATAATGAATCAGAATTTGATAGGTTGTGAGAGTTTGGTCAATCCAACAAAAATAAATAGTATAAAGTTGCATTCAGTCATACATATAATATCATGTATGACTATAAAAGGGTTGAATCCTCAAGCCATAATACTATATTATTGCAATCATTGTTTTCCAATTGCTTTTCTTGACTTAGTAGAGCATACTTATTATCGCAATTATAAAAACTATAAGAGCCAAGCCTAAAAATATATATAATTATCAGAGCATTCTCCTAATGTGGACACTGTTGTCAATGAAAATGAGATGGTATGGACTCTGTCATGACTTAGAGCAAAAAATAAATATAAATGGTAGAATAAATAATGGATCTTTAACTGTTTTGAAAATAAATAATTTATCTGTAAGGATCGCAAATAAATCTTTTTTTGTATGCTGCTACTTGGGTGCAATCTTGTGTCTCCAGAAGATGGCGATGTTGCACCACTAATTGGGAGCTGTCAATACTGTTTACATTTTATTATTAAATCCTAAGGTAAAATATATTTTACTTACAGTATCAATTATATAATTCATATCTCAACATTTTATTGTGGCGAACTTCTCGTATTGTTATTTTATAGTTTCTCCCAACTTATAAGCTTCTTAAATACTGCATTTAGACACTTATTCCCAAACTGAAACGCGATATAATAGAAATAAACGTCGGAAAAACAGAATAGATTATAAATAGTATCGCAAACATAGACAAATTTTCCAATTAAAAATGCAAAAAAATATGTAAGAACTTTATCAGAATTCAGTGTTTTCCACTCGACACAAACTAAACTTAACACACACTACTGCTGACTTTTCCAAACTTATCCCACCAATAAACACCGTTATCGGGGTAACTGTAGCGTCCCGCTCGGACTTAAAGGAGCTAAGAGGTGCTAATGCTAACAGAGGAGTTCAGGCACAGCTCTCACCATTTTAGAGGAGTTTCTGTGGAGCACGGGTTCCTTCAGGATACTCAGCCGGCTGCAGGGCCGAGACCTGCTCGTCCTCAGGATGAACATTAACCCAAACATGTCTGTAGGCTGAGTTTTTGCTTCACAGCTGGTTCTGCGCAAATGCGTGTCCTCCCGTTCAGGGAAGCTGTTCACAATACTGCCTGATCAAAATTCATATGAACTTAAAAATTTTTTTGCTTTGTTACGTTTATTCTTGGGGTAGTAAACATTTAGAAAACAAAACAAAACAAAAAAAAACAGGGTGGTTTAGTAATTATTTTTAAATTATTTTACACTGCTCAAAAAAGAAAGGAACGCCTAAAAAACACAATATAATTAAAATCAAATCAATCTTCTTACAAATCAATCTTAGAAAGCTGATTGGCAATCACTTCGCGTAAAGGAGAAAATATATGGAATTCACTATATATATATATATATATATATATATATATATATATATATATATATATATATATATATATATATCACTGATTCTTGGGAATTTGGATAAAACAGGTTTTAATTTTGAAAATAAAAAGTTAGTTGGATTACAAAATCTGAAGGTATATTGTTATAGACCAAGGTCTTGGCTGTTCAGCAGTGTACAGGTGCAACCTCCTCATTTTGTATTTCTTTCATAAAATAGGCATTTTTCCAGTTATTACTTTGTTTTTGTCAACACCATCAGACACAATAAAAAGCTAATTATTTTTTATTTATTTGGTCTAATAAGTATTTAGAGTTTTTAAATCTTTATCTGGCATTGTTAGCACACATTTATGCTGTTAAATGTTGAATAATCATTTTTGTTAATTTTTTTTAACTGTATCATGTGTAGTCCTTTAAAATATCTAACATCAGATAACGTTTACTTTAAGCCTAAATAGAAAAAGTCATGTTTTTTTATTTAACAAACATATTTTTGTATTAAAAGAGACCATTACTTTAATGAGAGAACAGCACTGAAGAAACATATTGCAAGCATATTAATTTAAAACGAATAAAAAGCCCTCTGACGGTGGTGACTTTAGAACTGACGGTGGTGACAGTGGCCTCATTTCAACATACAATTCCAAACTGTATACAATTCAAGTCAATGGTTTCTTGCTTATTAACTTTATTTAACTATTTGGTCCAAAAAATAACAATCATGAGCACTGTGACAAATATTTTTCAAGGAATATAAGGTACAATTAAGAAATATCATTATCAGTCAGAATCATTCTCTGATGCTTTATTTTCTTGCGTGTGATTGTGTCCTGTTTGTCAGTTGTCATTCGTGCTGCATTATGGTAGAAATTTTGAACCTTCTGAGTAATTGCTTGAATATATGTAGGTTTTTTGTCAGTAGGCCTTCACACTTCTTTTGATATTCCCTGTTTCTTTTCCTTCTTTCCTTCACAGATAGCTGCTTCCTAGCCATAACTTCCTAAAATACATAAAGTCAAAGTTGAGTGTAATGACTATGAAATTGGGGGGAATTACAGTAAATGTTAGATTTGGTTAAATGTTGCCCTGCCATAGCTTACAAGGAATATTGTATACTATGTGCTATGTAGGTAGGTAGTAGGTGCACTATGTGCATCCCAAATGATGTAAACCAAATGAACATGGCATAATAGTGAATTGAGAGACAGGGAAGGCACACCCCATCCCCTAGGGTTATACAATATGGAAGAAATCTAGGCGGAATTACATAAATAAAAATATAAAAGAGGTTAATGAAACATTACAGATCAACAATTATTTTCTAGCCTCCATTGAGAACCATTTGTAGTTTTTTGTCACCACCGTCAGACTGTGCGTCACCACCGTCAGCGTCACCACCGTCAGACAGAAAATCTGACGGTGGTGACGTCTGACGGTGGTGACAAAATCCTACTCTTTCACATGATATGCATGAGTTGTTCACATTAGCCATCTTGTTTCCCCTCTGTTGCTAGCTACTTTAGACCTCTTCTTAAAAAGTAAACATTTATGTCATAATCTAATCTAATATTTTTTATACAAAAGAGACGGTGTTGACATGTTATGGTTGTGACATTAGCAGTGTCCAAAAAATATGAACAAGTTTAAGAGAAAATAGCAAACCTACAGGAGCTTGAGTGACCTTAAGGCAGTGGTTCTCAAACTTTTTCTGTCATTCCCCACTTTGGACAAGGGGGAATTTTCAAGCCCCACCTGTCCCCATCGCCCCAACACAATGCTAATGAAATACGCAACAATCTTAAAATGTTCCAATTTTATTGAACAAGTAGTATCTAAATACAAACTATCTACATCAAAAGACAGCAAGCTCAAAAATAAAGAAAATAAAAATGCAGCTGTGTCAAAATTTGTATCAAGCTCAAAGATAGAAAAAATTAAAGTTCCACTCTGCAATCTGTTAATAAAAGAAAAGAAGTGAAATCCATCTGGCAAGACAGGTCTATTTATCCCTGCATTAGTGGCTGCAATGAGCCTGTTTTGCATTGCACAGTTTCTCAAAACGGGGTTGCAGGCTTGATACTGCCACTCTCAAGTCATGCTCAATGTTCTGCTGAGATCTGTATTTTGTTTTCATTGAAGCAACAGCTGAAAAGCCCATCTCACAGAGACATGATGTGGCAAAGGGAAGAAGAATGCACACAGCTCTCTGCCCGATGAGTGGATACTCCCTCTCCACTCCAAACCAGAATTCACTAAGAGTCTGAGCATTAAACCTGAGCCTTAGGGTGGAGTCAGACGTCATGTCAATAAACTGGTCCTATTTATTTAAGATAAAATATTTCAAATTCAGTTATTTATGATCAACCTGCGCCGTCAATCCCGGCGCATGTGCGCTTTATTTGCAGTCTGGATGCACATGCTGTGTCTCTGAGAGGACTCCTGCAATAGCGGGGGAGAACGGGGTTGGGATGGGGGAGGCGCCCCACGGCAGCACCTGCCGCTGGAGGACAAGAAAAGGAACGATACGTGCTTTCACGTAAGAGTCTCCAAAAGGCGCTAGATTTGTCGCTTTTTTGAAAAAGAGTCGCTGGAGGGGTCTGAAATATAGCGACAAAGTCGCGGAGTTGGCAACACTGGGGCGCGAAAGTTTATTCCGTTACAAATAATATGCCGACGTCACGTCAATCATTATTTTGGCACTTCAGTTCCAGGTGAAACTTTTCTCATATCTAATGTTCTGCATGTAGGCTAGTAAGGATTACTTTGTGGGTTTGATTGGTCTAAAAAGCGGCAACATACAGCTATAAGGACAGTTTGCTCTCACACGTTCTACATTTATAGTCACACGACACACACACACACATACACACACACACACATCGGAACTTGGCGCGCCCCACCTGTCACGTCTCAATTCCCCACCAGTGGGTCGCGCCACACACTTTGAGAACCGCGGCCTTAAGGCATCCAGTAGAGCTGAAGATTTGAAAATGGGGTCCTCAGGCATGTAGTTGACCTTTTAGTTGCCTGATTTTATTGCTTTTTATAAATATCTGACGGTGGTGACAAATATGTGGGACACATTTTGAACAATCACAAAATAATGGTTATTATTGTTCAAAACTCACTGTTTGTAGTTTTAAATACATATTAAAATGTACCCTTTCATTTGGTAAAGATATTATTCAATTCAATTATTACTTTTTGTTTTTTTAATCAAGTTGAAATGATTATCTCCTATCCAAGGACAACTGATTTTATAGGCAATGGGCCAGCATATAATCATTAAATTAACAATAAAATAAAAAAACTTTAAAAGAACCTTGCATTTGTGCAAAGGACCCCCTGATTATAACCTTGATTGTTTTTATTCATGAAAATTTTATTTCTTTCCAACAGAATTAGCACTTTTCTTAGTGGGACATGTTTTTGCCGAAGTTTCAAGAATCAGTGATATATATATATATTATTTTTATATAACCTATATAATTCGTATATAGTACAGCACTGAGTACATGTGACAGACATGGCAGAGTCTAGAGACACCATGGAGAGAGATCTACAACCTGCAACATCCTTCAGTGTGATCACTTTAGAATAGAATTCAACTTTACTGTCACAAGTACAAAGCAACGAAATTCACTCTCTGCATTTAACCCATTTCTTTGGGGAGTAGTGGGCTGCAGGTGTGCAGCGCACAGGGAGCAGTGTGAGGGTTAATGGGTCCTACTCAGGGACCCAGAGTGGCAGTCCGTGGGAGGGGGGCTTGAACTCAGAACCTCTAGGATCCAGGCACAATGCCCGAACCACAAGACCAAAAATCTCCTTTGGCAGTGGGTTGGTAATGGTGTGGGGTGGCATTTCTTAACAGTCCTCCATGTGCTCACCAGACGTAACATGACTGCCATTGGGTACCAGGATGACACCCTCTGACCCCTTGTGAGACCATATGCTGGTGCAGTTGGCCCTTGGTCCCTTCTAATGCAAGACAATGCTAGACCTCATGTAGCTGGAGTGTGTCAGCAGTTCCTGCAAGATGAAGGCATTGAAGCCATGCACTGGCCAACCCGCTCCCCAGACCTGAATCCAATTGAGCACATCTGGGACATCATGTCTTGATCCATCCACCAATGTCACATTGCACCACAGACTGTCTAGGAGTTGGTGGAGGCTTTAGTCCAGGTCTAAGAGGAGATCCTTCAGGAGACCATCAGCCACCTCATCAGAAGCATGTCCAGGCATCATAACTAGGCCATACAGGCATGTGGAAGCCACACACAATACTGAGCCTCATTTATACTCGTTTTAAGGACGTCATTAAAGTTGGATCAGCCTGTAGTTTGTTTTTCCACTTTAATTTTGTATATGACTCCCAATCCGGGCCTCCATTGGTTATTTTGATTTCCATTAATTTTGGTGGGATGTTTTGTTTTATGTCAGCAGATTCGGCTTTGTATTAAAAAAAGTATTCAATGACAATGTTTCATTTATTCAGATCTACTGTGTGTTGGAGTGTTCCCTTTTTTTTAGTAGTGTATATTTCTAAATAAAATTAAGATTTTCATTTTCTTTTCAAATTTACATTAAACCTTACTCCTGATTGAAAAATAAACTAAAAGACTTTTTAAAAAAATCACTTTAAAATAATTTTTTGACACTGCTTTCTATTGTTAAAGAAAAACTGCCCTCTTAACCTTTTTTCTTTTATCTATGTTTT